CCTACGACATCGTCCTCAAGGACCTGGAGCCACCCCTCATTGCGCGCTTCGTCCGTTTCATCCCTGTCACCGACCACTCCATGAATGTGTGCCTGCGCGTGGAGCTATACGGCTGTGCATGGCTTGGTGGGTGCCTGTCTGTCTGTCTGTCCATCCACCTATTGGGGCTGGGCTTACTGGCTCTTTCCCACAGACGGGCTGGTGTCCTACAGCGCTCCGGCCGGGCAGCAGCTCGTCCTACCCAGCGGTACCATCATTTACCTGAACGACTCTGTGTATGATGGGGCCTTCGGGTACAGGTGAGGACCAGAGTCTTGGGCAGGAATCAGAGGGTCTCATGGTAGAGCTCACCTGGTGGGAGTAAAGGTATGGCTCACAGAGTGCCCCTGTCCCACGCCAGCATGACGGAGGGCCTGGGCCAGCTGACAGATGGCGTGTCGGGGCTGGATGACTTCACACAGACCCACGAGTACCATGTGTGGCCAGGCTATGACTATGTGGGCTGGCGCAATGAGAGCACTGCCGGCGGCTACGTGGAGATCACCTTCGAGTTCGACCGCATCAGGAACTTCACCACAATGAAGGTCCGCATGCCCCGCGCTCCCTGTCCCCGTCCCCTCCGTGTGCCACGCTGACGGGTTGCTCCACAGGTGCACTGCAACAACATGTTCGCCAAAGGGGTGAAGATCTTCAAGGAGGTGCAGTGCTATTTCCGATCCGATGCCAGCGAGTGGGAGCCCAACGCCATCTCCTCGGTGCTGGTACTGGACGATGTCAACCCCAGTGCCCGCTTCGTCACCGTGCCCCTGCTGCACCGCATGGCCAGTGCCATCAAGTGCCAGTACTACTTTGCTGATACCTGGATGATGTTCAGCGAGATCACCTTCCAGTCGGGTACCACTGCCTTGCAGGGTCCTCCTGGGGCTCATGGGGAAAGCAGGGCTGCGGGGTGCTTGTTGTTCCTGTCCTTAGAACGGTTGGAAAAGACCTCTAAGATCAGCTAGTCCAACCACCAACCAATCCCAAGTGTGCCAACTAAACCATGTCCTTCAGTGCCACATCTCAGATGCAGGTGGTTCTTGAACACCTCCACCCCGAGCAGCCTGTGCCAATGCCTCACCACTATTTCAGAGAAGGAATTTTTCCTAATATCCAACCCATCCTTGACAATCTTCTCTTCTCTCTTGCCAGATGCAGCCATGTACAACAACTCAGCAGTTCCCCCGGAGATGCCCATGGCCCCCACCACATACGGTAAGGCACCAAAAAGCAACTTGCACCAAACCTGGTGGAGGCAGGGGTCACCTTCTCTTGGGAAGATGCACAGAGGCTCCAAAAGGGGAAGATCTGCCTCATCCGATGGAGAAAAAGGTGGAGGGTTTGTCCCCTCACCCCAGTGTGACCAAGCGTGTATTGTCCCCTCCTGCCAGACCCCACACTCAAGATGGATGACAGCAACACACGCATCCTGATCGGGTGCCTGGTGGCAATCATCTTCATCCTGGTGGCCATCATAGTCATCATTCTGTGGCGGCAGTTCTGGCAGAAGATGCTGGAGAAGGTGAGTGCACATGGGACAGCTGCAGGGCCTCTATGCCACCCCCAGCTAGTTGAGGTGACCATTCCAAATGCTTCTCCATTGGGCCAGATGACAGAGGGGGACATGCTGAGGGAGTATGCAAGGACATGCGCCCTCCCCAGTTCCACCATTATGGGACAGGACACAAGAGAGGGGCTCTGAGCATGGGCTCAGGGTTAGCCATGGCTGTGGTGACGTGATCTGTTGTTGGGACAGGGTGTACAGAGCCCAGGGGACCCCAGGGGATAGCATACACCGGGGTCCTATCCCAGCTCTTTCCTCCCTCACCCACTCCCACAGGCATCACGGAGGATGCTGGATGATGAGATGACCGTCAGCCTCTCCCTGCCCAGTGAATCCAGCATGTTCAACCACAATCGCTCCTCCTCCTCCAGCGAGCACGAGTCCAATTCCACCTACGACCGCATATTTCCCTTGGGTCCGGATTACCAGGAGCCCTCACGCCTGATTCGGAAGCTGCCTGAGTTCACGGCGGGTGAGGAGGATACGGGTAAGGAATGGGAGATCCTCCTGGACTCACTGCAGTGCTGCAGTGTGATGGGCATAGTGCTGGGTGGGAGCTGCCCAATGTCCTGTGGGCTGCACGCCCATGGCAGGATCGTCCCCACTGTCTCCCCAGGCTGCAGTGGCCTTGTGAAGCCATCCCCAGCCAGTGGCCCCGAGGGTGTCCCGCATTACGCCGAGGCTGAGATTGTGAACCTGCAGGGCGTCACGGGTGGCAACACTTACTCGGTGCCAGCCCTCACCATGGACCTGCTGTCTGGCAAGGATGTGGCTGTCGAGGAGTTCCCAAGGAAGCTGCTGACCTTCAAGGAGAAACTAGGAGAGGGCCAGTTTGGGGAGGTGAGCTGGAGCTGGCAGGCACAAAGCCTCCGTGGGCTGGGATAGATGGAGCTGATCCTTGTGGTGACCAAAGGAGACCAGTGCTGGAGGTGATGCCCATTTGTGGCCCCTTTCCCAGGTTCATCTCTGTGAGGTGGAGGGGATGGAGAAGTTCGCAGACAAGGAATTCACCCTGGAGGGCTTGGATGCCAGCCCCAACTGCCCCGTTCTAGTGGCTGTGAAGATGCTGCGGGCCGATGCCAACAAGAATGCCAGGTACTGTTCTCATAGCACAGCCCCTAGTGGGACAACTGTACCCTCTGGGCAGTGTCCCCAGCTTCCAGCACGCTTATGTGCCACGGGTCCTTCCCATCCCCTGCCCACAGAGCCCATCCCACGCCGCCCCCAGGCCAAGGGGAGGGTCCCCCTGCCACGTCCTTTAATGATCGGGCACTTCACCCCACCGTGCTGGGGTGTCTGATTCCTGTGGTTTCTGTTCGGGAAAGGAATGATTTCCTGAAGGAAATCAAGATCATGTCACGGCTCAAGGACCCCAACATCATCCGACTGCTGGCAGTGTGCATCACGGACGACCCGCTGTGCATGATCACTGAGTACATGGAAAACGGTGACCTCAACCAGTTTCTGTCCCGCCATGAGGCACAGAGCCCTCCCGACGCCCAGGTGCCCACCATCAGGTAGTGCTGTGGGTGGGGGCACAGGGGCGGTGGGGGACCTGGTGTCGCCCAGCCCCTCAGCCCTGCACGGTGTCCCCAGCTACAGCGACCTGCGCTTCATGGCCACCCAGATCGCTTCTGGCATGAAGTACCTGTCCTCCCTCAACTTTGTGCACCGTGACCTGGCAACGCGCAACTGCCTGGTGGGCAAGAGGTACACCATCAAGATCGCCGACTTCGGCATGAGCCGGAACCTCTACAGCGGGGACTACTACCGCATCCAGGGCCGCGCCGTGCTGCCCATCCGCTGGATGTCCTGGGAGAGCATCCTGCTGGTACGGCCAAGTGTCATGGGTCAGCCTGTGGGGTCTTCATCTTGGATGGGTCACACCCTGTGCCTGGTGGGTGGCCTTGGGAGACACAAGGGGAAAGAGATCCCTTTGGGAGATGGGATGAGAGCATTGCAGTCATGCGCTGTTCCCATGCTGGGCATGGAGCTGGGAGGTTCAGAAGGCTTTGATCTCCAGGCATTAGGAGCCGCGGAGCTGTAGGGTGTTGCACATCCTAATCCTGCTCTGCTTACCCCTGCCAGGGCAAATTCACCACGGCCAGTGATGTGTGGGCATTTGGCGTGACACTATGGGAGACCTTCACGCTGTGCCGGGAGCAGCCTTACTCACAGCTGTCTGATGAGCAGGTCATCGAGAACACCGGAGAGTTCTTCCGGGACCAGGGCCGGCAGGTAGGAATGGAACAGGCAGTGCTGGGTGGGAGCTGCAGGTCTGGGGAGAATAACAGAACCATAGAGTCATCAAGGTTGGAAAAGATTGCTAAGATCACGTTGTCCAACCATCAGACCATCAGGACGCTAAGGGGATGGATGGGGAGTTTGGCGGCTCTTTGCCATGAACACAAAGTCCTGGTGCATGGGGGAATTGGGCACCCTAGGGCCAGTATGGTGGGGCAGTGGCACAGGTTGCCTAGAGAGTTGGTGGGCGCCCCGTCCCTGGAGACACCCAAGGTCAGGCAGGATGGGGATCTGAGCATCTGGTGGAGCTGTGGGTGTCCCCTGTTCAGGGGAGTGGGACCAGATGGCCTTCTAACTCAAACGATTCCGTGATTTTATGATTTTGCTGTTGTCCGTTGGTAGTACATGGTGCTAAGTCTCTCTTTTTCCTTTTATTTTGAAGACGTACCTTCCCAAGCCTGCATTGTGCCCTGATTCTGTTTATAAGCTAATGCTGAGCTGCTGGAGACGGGACACTAAAGACCGTCCGTCCTTCCAGGACCTGCACCGCCAGCTGCAGGAGGCGGCCACCGAGGAGTGACCCTGTGCTCAGCGGGCACCACTTCCCAGGAGGAGAGCCCCAGTGCAGCAGGGGAGCACAGGGCAGCACGGCCCCGGGGCTCCGAGCTGGGAGCGCTGCGGGTTGGACAGAGGTTATTTATTGGGGGCAGTGACTTTGTGGGCCCAGGACCACGTGCCTTAAGGGAAGCCATACGGTTCCTCACCATGCACCATCAGACCCCTGCACGTGGGCAGGAGGAACTGTGGATTTCAGGGTGCACGGACCCCTCTGACTTTTTTTTACGCCCTTACTTCATCGCGGCACCATTTGCAGTACCCTATTGCTGAGGCATGTATATATTCAGTAGAAGCACCTGTATATACGGGAGAACCCGCTGAAGAGATGCTCCGTGTCCTGGTTTCCTTGGGGCTCCCGGGTGACACGTGGGTACGCGGCGCCCGATGGGCGGGGCGAGAGAGCGCGGGAGTGGGCGGGGTCTAAAAGGCCACGCCCACAATCTCCCTCTCGCTCCGCCCCGCCTCTCGCCCCACCATCACGCCACCGGCCGTGTGGTCACGCCCCCTCCGCCTGCACCCATTGGTCGAGGAGGGAGGCGGGGCGATGACGTAGGCAGGAGGAGAGGGCGGGTAGCGGATATAGGGCAGCGGTAGCGGGCGAGCCGGGAGCGCGAACCGGACCGAGATGGAGCGTGTGGTGCTGGTGACGGGAGCCAGCGGGTGAGCGCGCGGGGCCGGAGGTCTCGGGGTGTGGGGAGGGCATTGCCTACGCTTGACGCTGAGCATCGTGCCGTTGCAGCGGCGTGGGGCTGGCGTTGTGCCGGCGGCTGCTGGGGGAGGATGGACGCATCCACCTGTGCCTCGCCTGTCGCAACACCCAGAAGGCAGAGGCCACGCGGGACTTGGTGCTGCAGGAGTACCCCGCCGCGCAGGTCTCCACCGTGGAGGTAGACCTGGGCAACCTGGCCTCCGTGCTGCGTGCTGCGCAGGAGCTGCGCTGCAGGTGAGTGGGTAACCCTGTTATCCCCACCTGATCCCCCCCATCTGACCTTCTCTCCCCCCTGCTGTCCCCATCTGACCCCCCGTGTCCCTCTGTGCTGTTCACCCCGCTGTCCTGCTCTCCCTACAGGTTCCAGCGCCTGGACTTTGTCTACCTCAATGCCGGCATCATGCCCAACCCTCATGTGAACTTCAAGGCCCTGTGGAAGGGGCTCCTGACCGGGTAAGGATGTGGGTGCTGCTGTGAGCTGGCCATGACTCGAGGGGTTGGTGAGCGAGGGTCCAAACTGATGGACCCTAACTCAGCATCACATCACTACTCAGGTTGGAAGGGATCTGCAGGTGCCCATCAGGTCAGGCTGCCCAGGATCCCATGCAACCTGGCTTGAATGCTTCCGCAGATGGGACATCCCCAGCTTCTCTGGGTGGTCTATGCCAGGGCCTTGCCACCATAAAGAAGATCCTTATGTTTGACTGGAATCCACACTTGTTTAGTTTAAAACCTTTGCCCTGGAGCACCAGGAGGTGTGGCTGTCCTCGGGGAACCCTGCGTGCTGTCTGAGCCCTGCTGTAGGGCCAGCTGTGGGCTGGAGGGGAGGTTGGTGCTCAGCTTAGGCCTGGGGAGGAGTGAGAAATACTTATGTGTTCTTGGGGGATGAAGTGTGCTCTCACTGGGTCTTGTTTCTGTGCTTTTTTCCCAGCTGTAGGTCACAATGTTTTGAGATGCTGTGATAGCTGGCTGCTAATGAGAGAGCTGAGCTGGGGATCAAAGTTATGGGGTGGATTCTGATACAGCTGGGTGCTGAATGTAGACGCAAGGCGGCTTTCCTCATCTGCTGATAGGTCTTTGTTCCAAGCCTGAGATTAGTCTTCATATCTGAATGCTCTGTTTCCTACCCTTGGTTTCCAGGAAGGTGCTCCATATGCTGACCACTGCAGAAGGCATCATGACACAGACAGACAGACTGAATGGGGACGGGCTGCAGGAGGTGTTTACCACCAACCTCTTTGGGCACTTTATCCTGGTGAGGCTGTGCAAAAGTCGGGCTGTAGGTCTGGGTAGCACAGCACAGTGGGTGCTGATGTTCTGTCTTTCAGGTTCTGTTCCTGCTGCAAGCTCAGGCCTGACAGATAAAGAATGATAGGAGAAAGGCCTCCTGCCGTGTTGAAATAGCTCTAAGTGGTCACAGAGTTGTTGTAAGGATTAATGCAATCTAAAGCTTACCGTAGTCAGTGGGTAGAGGTAAACCAGGCACAGCTCTTTCCAAGAAGGCCACCAAGGCTTGGCTCTGTGGACTTCTGAGGTGTTCCTCTGAGCTGTGCAGAACACTGCCACTGCTTGTACAGCTTCCTGGGAAAACATGGGCTGAAGCTGCACCGGAGCTGTGGCTGCTTTTTCAGCGCTCCCTTCACAGCTTGGTGTTGCTCATGTTGTGGCCCATCTACGAAGGTTGCCCATTACTAGGAAAGCTGAGCTGGCAGCTTTTCGGTATGGTGAAACGATGCCATAAAGCTTTACAATTGTGGTGACAATTCTTTTTCAGATTCGTCAGCTCGAATCTCTGCTCTGCGGTAATGAAAAGCCATCACGACTCATCTGGACCTCCTCCAGCAATGCAAGGGAATCTGCCTTCAGCCTGTCTGACTATCAGCATGCCAAGGGGCAGGAATCATACAGTTCCTCCAAATATGCCACTGACCTGACAAGTGTGGTTCTGAACAGGAAATTTAATAAGCAGGTGACAATGGGATTTGTGTGTCTGAAGGACTTAATGAGCAGCTACTATTTGTAATTATTGTTGCATTGTTGTTGCCTTGCTGCATTAGTTTGCAGCAATCAGATATGTGCCTTAATGCATGCGTAGGAACTGGCTGTGGCTGCACTGGTGGGGCATGCAGGCTGCTAGCCACAGGTCTTCCTGCTTGAGCCATCCACTACAGAGTATTTCTGATAGCAGAAGCTTTTTGGAGAGGTTCCTACCTTGCAAGCTTTAGTTTTCTATTGAAACCAGAGAATTGGTCTGAAAGAGCAAAGGGCTGAAGTGCTGGCCACTCTTCTCAGGTGCGTGTGCCCACTTGAGGCACAGATTCTGCCAGAGGGAGGGGGTAGGAGCCCTTCTTTACTGTTGTGTAGTTACAAACTGACTGTTTCTTCTCTGCAGGGTCTGTATTCCAGTGTTGTTTGTCCTGGCCTTGTTATGTCCAACATGACCTTCCGAATTTTGCCAGTTTTTCTGTGGGTGCTGCTGATGCCCATCATGTTTTTGGTAAGAGGCTCTTCGCTGGTTTGAAGGAGCTCTTTGGAGCAGCCTGCTTGTGGCTTCTCACTGCTATTATGGCTCTGTAGCTCTTCAGTTGAATTGGGCAGCCATGCCCTGTGTGGGCAACTTGCTGACTTGTTCAAGGCGCTGGTGGTTCCTCAAAGCAACCCTCTGGCCTTCTGGAGCAGCAGGTTTCCTGGGAGGAGAGAGATGGCAGTCTCCTTCTCTAGGAGCTTCTTGAAGTATGGGGCGCAGAGGGGAGAGTTAATGGCACCCCTTTAACCTACACCAGATAGGTGCTGCTGCTCTTGTTATGTGCTCTGACACAGCCTGTTGTCTGGAGTGGCTTTCAGGGCTTACTCTTGAGTGTCTGCTTCTTGTGGGCTGCTCTTCCAGTGAAGGTGCAAAGCACGGCTTGGAGAATGGAAGGGAAAGGCCTTGCTGCATCTGCTTGGCACTGGGAGGAAGGCACTGCTGGTGTCTTTATTCTGCTGTAGGTTCCTTGTGGGAAGGAGAAACAGAAGGTGTATTCAGATCTTGCCAACCTGCCCTTGGGTACTGTGGGTCCTGGTTTTTCCAGCAGAGCTCCTCAAAGCAGCTGTGCTGCTGGGAAGTACTGCACACAGATAGAGCTCAGCCTTTCAGTTGCAGCAGCATCAGCAAGACTCTCAGTACCAGGCTGGTGTGGGCTTGCAAAAGAACATGCTTTTCAGCAGTAGTGGAGTTCTGGACGAAACTTGTCCCTCATTCCTTGACATGCTGTTTGTTTTTGCAACGGTCTTTGACTTTCTTAGAGGCAGAGAAAGAACACCCAAAAAATGCCAAGTTGTTTGCTCTCTGTCCCTTCTCCCGCTCCCCAAAAGCTGCTTTTGCCATTTGTTCCTGTAGCTTCAGCTTTCTAGACTCAGTGCAGTTCTGGCCCTGCTGCAGGATGCCTGCCCCAGCTGTCTGAGCAGGCAGTGGCTGATCCTGGCAGATCACCTTTCTCCTGTCAATGGAGAAGGCAGTGCCTTCTCGCTTGTCCTCAGCGCTGATGGTGTTGTGGACCCATTTGGTCTCCAGCCATATCACAACCACACAGGGCAGGAGGCAAAGTGTCTGTGGGATGTGTGCTTGCCTTGTTGCTTGCCTCCTTCTGCCTATGGAGTGAGGCTTGCTGGTCTGGTGGGTGGCCCAGGGAACCAAGCTTGTGGGCACAGAGGGATGCTTCAGTTCCAAGTGTGCAGCATTGACTGGAGGCAGCCTTGAAAGCATTTCTACCCTTGGTAGATGGTCTTGTTGTTGGGCTTGTCAAAGAAACCTTGGGTCAAAATACTGATTCTTTCTTGTATATTTTTTTTCCTCCATCAGATACGTTTCTTTGCCAAGACTTACACTCTGACACCGTATAATGGAGCAGAAGCTCATGTAAGTGCTTCACTGTTTAATTTAACAGCTCTCTCTCTAGGGTAGCTCTTCCCAGCACCTGCAGACTCTAACTAAGATGCCCTCTATAGGGCTGGGGTCTGTGTGCTGGATTTATTCTCTGAATCCCTTACAGCAGGAAGTGCTGGGAGGCCAGAAGTGACCAGGGCTGATCCCACAGGTCTCTTTGTCAGGCGTCCAGAGAATGGAGGATTTAGGCAAACTAAACTCTGCCCCTTCTTTCCCTAATGGGGAGGGTGTTGCCTTGCCTTTTTGCTGTCAAACCACAGGCGCATAGCCAGAGGGCAATGCAGGTTGAAGTAGGTTGAAGCTGAGGGCAGCCAGTTTGGAATTTCTTCTCCAGGTATCTAGTCTCCCCAAGCTTAATTTTTTTCACTCATGTCATCCAGAAGCAGGGTCCTTACCTATAGGTTTGGTTGGGACTGCTTGTATGACTCTGTGCTGTTCTTCCTAGGTGTGGCTGTTCAAGCAGAAGCCAGAATACCTGGATCCACTTGTCAAGTACCACAGCTGTACCTCTGGACTGGGGAAGAACTTTGTGGAGCCTAGAAAGGTGAACAGAGCAACAGCTTCCTGCTGTGGGGACTTGGCTTGGCTGGGGTCCTGCTGTGTGCTACCTGGTACAGAGCAGAAGGGTTGGTGTTGGAGGTCCTGGGGCTGGAGAGGAAGATAGCTGTGTGCTGAGCAGCAGAGAGAGATGTGGAACTATCTATGAGGTTTTCCTGGAGTAGCACATCTGCCATCCTCATACTGGAGTCTGCAAGCTCTTAGGACCATCCAGGAGGGTTTGTGTTGGTTTCTGTTCTATCTGTTCCTTAACTGGGCAATCCTCCCTCTGTTGGGCTGGTGGGAAGGTGGGAACAAAGGCAGCAGTAAGTACTTCTGATGTCAGCTGACGTTCAGGTGGTAGCAGGGGAATGTGGGAGCTGGAGGTACTTTGGTCTCTGACAGTGTGTCATGGTTGAGACTGCTGCACCACAAGCTCGACTTGAACAGGCTCTGTGTATGACCTGGTCTCTTGGCAATGAAGATCTTGCTCAGAACAGGATCAGTGTGTTATGATGCTTCCCCACAATGTGCTCTGTGCTCTGGAGATGGATGCCTCTGGGTGCCACACTAGAGAATCCAGAGCTGCCCTCAGTATCCGTACAGACCGCCAACAATGACATGTCTCAGTGCCCTTCTTATTCTTTTCCAGCTTGATGTGGATGAAGAAACTGCTGAGAAATTTTACCAGAAGCTGTTGGAACTGGAGGAGCAAACTCTAGAGAAATATGGCGATCTCCTAGATTAAATAAAACTCGTTCTCAGTGAGTTAAGGCTTCTATCAGTAACATGGGCTTCCTTCATTCTGGTGCTACTTGGGGTGCCTGCTCTTCTGTGGGCATATGGCTTCAGCACTGATCTTCCTTCTCTAAAGAAGGTGAACAGTTCCTGAAAATGGGAATGTGAGAACTGAAGAAGAATATTTAGTCTTTCTGGTATGGGATTTTTCTGGCGTAAAACTGGAGACCTAGCGTAGGTGGAAACTGTCCTAACACAGCTGTGAGGCGTTGTCTTCTAAAAACATGACTGAACTGTGTACAGCTCAAGAGGAGCCTCAAAACATGGTTTGAATGTGGCTTGGTGTTGGGAAGGCAACAGCCTGGGGTGCTGCTGTGAGTTGTGGCTCCACCAGTCCTTCGAGATGGTTTGAACTCATGACCTGTGGCTAATCCTGACATACTTGAAGGCCCAACTTCAGCTGAGCTGCTTCTGTTTGCACCCCAGAGCTTGGGCCAGCATTCCGAGGGGCTGGCAAGATTGAGCCTTGCTGAAGCTCAGGCTGTGTATGGCCCTGAGGAAAAGCTCCTGAAAAAAGAGGGAATGGCACCTCTTGCCTCCGCTGTGAGGTTAGATGCTTTCTGGATAGCTGGAAAACATGAGCCATCCCTTGGATTTGGGGCCCTATGTTCTAGCCATGACTGACTGGGAAGGTTGAGGCTGTTGAAGTTAGCTGGGTTTCAGGGCCTCACTGCTCTGTCTGTTGCAAGAATGAGGTCACCCTGTTATTTATATCTGTTTAACTGTCTTTTTATATTTAATAAGTATTCTTTCTGTTACCTATCTTGTGAGTACCTGGTGTACTTTCAATGCTGCAACAAATAAATAATCAGCACTCACTTGTCCTTGCTATGATGGAGTTTTTGGTGTGATGCGGGATGCGGGGAGGGAGGGCATACCTGTGTGTAGCAGGGAAGTGAGGAGTCCCCCAGAGCAGCCTGCTCATGTGCCTTCTAATTAATGGCAGGCATTAGTAAGTTCTGAGGACTTCGGTGTGGTTTTGTACATTGAACATTTGTCTGAGACAATTTCCTTGCTTCAAGTACTTGAGACAAGTGGATGTCTCCAGCACTTACTCACCTACCTTGTCCCATAAGTAGTGATTAATTACTGTGCTACTGGGAACACTGGCTGTGCCCAGGCACTGCCCTGGGGTAGGCAGGAGCTGGCAGGAAGGCTCAGCATGTAAAGGCTCTGACTTCTGTAAAGCAGATGGAGCATGTGCTTGTGTGAGCCTTCAGTTAAGCACAGGAAAGGCTGTCCTGGGCCGACCTGGCCTCTAGCTTTGTTCAACAGAACCTCTCAGGGCTGTAATCCCGCTTTTCTGGGCAGGAAAGGAGGTAATGATAGCAAGCCAGTGGCTGGCTGCCTGCCTCCCCTTGAGCTGCGTACCTTGTCTTACAACACTATTTGGCTTCTTGTTCTAGAGAGTAATTAAACCTTTCCCTTAATTGGCTTTAGACGTGTTTCTTGAACGCTGCAGTGCTTCTGCCCTGGGATTTGCTATCCACTACAGCTTTCAGATTCTCATAGCCAGAGACACTCCATCATTCCTCATATTATGGATGCTGTGCCCTGCTCTGACAGCTCTTTCTTACCTTCTTTGGGGTGTAATGTATGGAGCAGCAGATACTGCTCACAACAGTCTGACACAATGCATCATGAAATGAGTGCACCTTGTGGGAGGTGGGAAGCAGAGTGTTCTTATGCCAAGGTAATCACAGGTGTTGTTTGTGCCTTCTCTCAGAGCCAGCTGCATGGCTTGGTATAGAGTAAGGAATGTGTGCAGTCCTGACACCATAGCTGTAATGGTGTGAGGACTTGAGTGCAGTGGGATCTGGAGAAGTCAGCTTTCCATCAGCTGGAAGTCAGTTACAAGGCAGAATGGTCTTAAACTGAGACAGGGGAGGTTTAGGTTAGATATTAGGGATATTAGGAGGAAGATCTTCACCCAGAGGGTGGTGATGCACTAGAACAGGTTGCCCAAGGAGGTTGTGGATGCGCTGGAGGCATTCAAGACCAGGCTGGATGTGGCTCTGGGTAGCCTGGTCTGGTGGTTGACAACCCCACACATGAGAGGGGGATTGAAATTTGATTATAGTTATGGTCCTTTTCAACCCAGGCCATTCTATGAACCGATATATGTGGAGAAAACAAATGTTTTCTGGTATGCAACCTTTTAAGCCTGGAATGAAGTAAGCAGTTTGGTTGGCAGGATGGGCACAGATGAATGACAGTAAAGGAGATCCTGGATGATTTTTCTCGTATGCACTTGAGTTGCACATTTCTTGGAGAAGGTGAGCCTGGTGAGATGGGACACATGCTTTATGCCTGCACAGAGGCTCCAGCTCTGTTTCTTGCTTGGCCTTCAGCTGGGAACCATGGGCAGAACCTGGTGCCTTGGAAGGGAAGCTGCCCCATGCCTGGGTGCGGCCCAGCTGCTTACTCTCCTTGTTTGGCTCCCTGGAGAGAGCGGGTCAACGTGTGTTGCTGGAGAAGCGAGGGCTGGGCTGCCCTAATTCCCTACCCCTTCTTCCTGCCCTGGTTCTGTCTTGTTCTGTGCCTTGTTCTGTCCTGCACCTGTGCCTTCGGTGCAGGAGTGGCAGGTAAAGAGGTGTTTGGGGCTGTTCTAGGCTCAAGGTGTGCCCAGGAACACTGAGTTGCTGAGCGGTTTGGGTGCATCGCCCACCTTGCTCAGCTGCACCCAGAATGAGACAGTGTCCAGAATCTCAAGGTTTTGCACCGAGGCCATCTAAAGGTGGTCTTTTCCCTTCTTGGTGACTCTGGCCCATGTCCAGCTGCATGTCCTGGTTCAGGTGTCTGCCCCAGATGCCTGAGCAGAGCCAGGCTGTGCTCTGAGCTGCTCATCTTTGGGGTTGATGGCTCCTTGTGTGCTGCTCTTGGCCAACAAGAGTGTGTGTGTGTGGAGCTTTATCCCCAGCTAATCCCTCTAGCTTGAGGCGCATCCAGTCATGAAACTGGTAATGGAGAAATGACAACTGGGTCAAGGAGAGCAGGCATGTACTGCACACATCCATAAGACTCTTCCCAGCACACTTCTGTCTCCTCATCTTGCGTGCTATGGCAAAGAAGACCCAACCAATGCCAAGGTGTGAGTCAAGGGCATTGCTTGGGTTATGCACGTGGAACTGGCAAGCCCTTTATGCAGCAAAACCAGCTCTTGCCCTGAGCACACAGCCAGCTGTGACAAAGACGGGTGAAAAATGCAGAGACATGTGACAAGTGACAAGTCTGGAATGGCAACAGTGAGTCACTGCTGAAGCAGGAATCTTCTGTTGGTTTGGGGGCTTCCAGAGATCTCTGAGGTGGGTGCTAAGCGCGAAAGCTTGCCGTGGTTGTTTCACAACATCCTGCGTGGCTGGGCTGTGTGTTCCTCCTTTGCCAGCCATTATGACTTGTCTGCGGCCACTGATTTCTTAGTTGTAGAGGCAAAGGGGTTGCATTGCTCCAGATGCAGCTCAGGTCTATCACTACTTACAGCTCAGTGGCCTTTACCTATGTAGGGCACTGTAGGAGTGGGAGTGGCAGGGCTGAGATCCTCTGGGCTTGATGAGCTCTGCTCCTCTAGCACAGAATCACCAGTAAGCAGATCGGTCCCTGTAAACAGGTGCAATGCAGCCATCGTGTTTCAAAACATTCAATATTAATCTTCCAGTGGCAGCTTTGCAGTTGGCAGTGCTTTGCAGGAGCTGCCCAGGCTAGGGGCAGATGATCATGTGCTGAAGGGCTGGGCTGCTCATGGAGAGATAAAGCCTTTCTAGGGATCCTTGCAGGAGGACAACAGCTCCGGGGAGAAGAACCAGCAGGGCACGGGGTTGGGTGGTTTTGCTGCTGGCTTTGGCTGCAGGCAGGTTCCTTGCCTGCCATTAAGGACCAAAGTAGAGATGGGATCCACCATGCTGTTTCCCTGTGCCCCCCCACAGGCCTGCAGCTGGGCCGTGGGTGCCTTGGTGTGGCTGTCATTGCTGTCCCATGACACACAGGGCCAGGCAGGGTGACACCGGGGGTTATTAGGTCCCGGATATGTTGCTGGGGGTACCTCGTGGTGCTGGTGGCACGTGGTGAACGTGTCTCTGTGACACCCGCCCTGTGCTCGCTGCCCACTGGTGCCAAGCTGTGCTGTGTCATCAGCCACAGCAGGTCCTGCCGGCACCCCGCATGACCCAGGGAGCCGTATCAATCACCTCTTTATCAGCCCTTGCTCATCTGCCTTTGCTCCCCACCTTTTCCGCTTGGCTGTGCAGCAGCGGAGCTCCAGGCTAGAACATGAGGGTGCAGGCACGTGGTGGGTCAGTTCCTCGTCCACGTGGGAGCTGTGGGCTGAGCTGCAGTGTCCTGAGCTTCATGAGAGCTTGTTGAAGTAGGACAGGCAGCTCCAGCCATTTCCTGTGCTTGCTTCATGGTTCTGCTGAGTGCTGAGCACCAGCAGCTCCTGCAGAGTCTGCCTGCTTGTGTGGAGCTCTGCCTGCATTTCCCTGCAGCTCCTGGAAACTAACTTCTCTCTGAGCTTGAAGTATCCCCAGGACATTTGAGTGGGGTTTTGCCTGGGAGATCAGAACGGGTTTTGCTTCCATGCTTCACCCAGCTGTGAGTAGTGCTAGAAGCTGTCACCTAGGATTTCCTCAGTCTCTGTGTCCACTATGGGCTGTCCCCCACCAAAACAGGGACCTGGGCTCTTGGGCTGGGCGTAGGTGTTGGATAGTTTTGCCCGGCCGACTGAGCATGTTGTTCTGCTCTGCAGTGTGGGCACAAGGTGAATGTGTTTTGAAACCCAATGAGGTGGAACCTCCCATTGATCACAGGGGCTTGAGAGGTTTAATTACAGCGTGCAGTGGGGACAGTGCAAGTCAGCTGGAGGAAGGCAGGATGTGTAGAGATGTGTAGAGTGCACGCACTATGGGAGGAGAACAGAGGGACGAAATGCAGATGGATGTTGGACTCTCCCCTCCATTGCCCTCTGGCTGGAGCAGCTGGAGGGCCTGGATTTCAGAGTAATATGGCTACAAAGCAGAACACATGGTCTGGCGCAAACTCTGTACTCAGCTGCTGTACAGCTCAGCTTGGTGTAGGTTCTCCAAAATCCAGCTTCAAGGTGCATTTACCACGTGGAATAGAGCAGCTCAGGAAGCTGAGGGCATGTTGCAGCCTGCTGGTACAGGTAAGCATTCCTGGCTTGGACAGAGCTCCTTGCCTGGCCAGGGCACCCTGCAGAAGAATGCTGGTACAGGCGTGCCTCCTGCAGGCAACATGTTGGGCAGCTTCAGAACCAGCTACCTTCCAGGGCAGGTGTGCATTTACTGAGCACCATTTGACTCATAGACAGAAATGGAATTGTCATTGCTGAGGTCAGCTGGGAGCCACTCAAATTGCTGGGCAATTCAGATTTGCGTCATGAGCTTTCCTGCATAGTCACCCAGCTCCTCGGGTGGATTTCCTCCTCCAGCAGATGAAGATGGCAGCGAGCTCTCCCTGTCCTGGCACAGAAGCCAATGCACAAGGGTCTGTCTATCACCCTCCTGCCATCTAACCATGACCCAGGTGAGAGGCTTCTGCTGGGGCTGCCTCTAAATGCTCAGCTGGCCCTTGGGAGTGGAAGAAGCATTGCTTTCAATGAAACCCCTTGGGCTGCAGAGCTCAAGGATGTGACAGCATGCACCTTGGGCTTGTTTCTCCATGTGATCCCTAGAAGGCACAGCTGGGTGACGTGGTGCACTAGGGGTGCTGGTAACGGCACCTGCCTCCAGCAGCTTTGGTCTCTTCCATGAGGATGTGGTCTGCCATTGTAGGTAGTGGGACCAGAGAATGCAGGAGGTGAGGC